CATCACTCTTAGCTAATTCCTATTGACTCCTTGCCCTGCGAATATTTCGTTGCGTCCTCCCTCTACTGTACCGCACGCCTGTCGTATTCCCAGCATCTATGACTTTAGAAGGTCTACCTGGCTGTTGCTGGGCTGGGATGGGCCAGGTACTTGCGGCCGAAGTGGTTACCCCCGGTCCTAGTAGCATTGCGCATGATGAGACGAGGCGCATAAAGAGTTCACAGCTATCAATGCCGAAGGGTCGGAAAAGGGAACGGCACTCCAAATTAATTAAGCAAATGAAGACCAAAAGGATTCTGTCATTTCCGAGGAGCTCTCGTGTAACAGCATCCAACACGCACATAGAAGAAGTATATAAGCGTGGTTGCAGTGGGAAGTGCAATTTTAAAACGTGTAATTACTATCTCAAGTTTATTAAAACCTTCTTTATAAGATGCACATCTCAATCACTCTCGCTTTATTCTTTGGGCTGACTTCAGCTCGAGTGGCTCATGCACCTGTTGTCGAGTCGCAGATAGACCAACCTGAATCTGTCATCAATGACAATACCCTCGCGCCTCTTGAACTAGCTTTAGGACTGAAAAACCATGTAAAGCTAGCAAAGAGATCTCTACAAACGCAGACCAGTGCCCCATGGGGTCTAAGAGCTATATCTCACCGAAGTCCGGGAGACTTTTATGAAGAATTTCCGCCTCCTGAAAGCTCCAAGTACTACTACGATGACAAGGCCGGCGCCGGTACGTTCGCGTATATTCTTGATAGTGGTATTCGTACCACCCATGAAGAGTTCGAGGGCCGCGCAAAGGCTGCTCATAGTATCTATCCTGCTGATCAAACTATCCACGGGGATCATGGTACTGGAGTTGCTGGAATTATTGGTAGCAAGACCTACGGCGTTGCAAAAAAGGCGACTCTTATATCTATACATTTACTAGGACCAGATGGTTGCACAGGCAGTGAAGCAATCAACGCACTCCTCTGGGCTGCAGAGGATATACTCAAGAATTCCCGCAAGGATTCGTCAGTCATTAATTTATCCTTTGGGATCCCAAAATTAAAAGCACTAAACACTTTTGTGGAAAGACTTATTACCGACACCGATATTCCGATAGTTGTTGCCGCCGGAAATGAGGCCGACGATGCTAGTAACCACTCTCCAGGATCTGCTGATGGAGTAATTAGCGTTGGCCATATTAACCAACAATGGGCTATTTCCGAGACATCAAATTTTGGATCGGCAGTGAGTATTCTAGCTCCTGGCGTTGGAGTGGAAACTACTGGTGCAGGGAGCGATACCAATATTATACGGGAAACTGGTTCCTCTTTTGCTACGCCTTATATCTCAGGTCTTATCTTAAATGCGATATCTATTCATGGTATTAAGGGTGCCGCTAATTTAAAGAGACATATTCTGGAGACGGCTACAAAAGACAAAGCTTGTATTCCTCCTGAAAAGGAGGACAAGAAAAACAGGACGCCAAACTTGGTAGGGAACAACAACAACGCTGAGCAAGACAAAGAAAAACAGAAGGATGAACCCTCGTCTTCTAGGATGTTTTGCTGTAACGGGCTGCTGTCAAAGCTGGCTTGTGGTAGAAACAGGCCTACGAATGTGTAATAGAGGTTATAGTGACTAGATAGTAGCTAGGTAGGCTATTATAAGTAACTATATTAATCTCTAGATAAACTCTTTTTGTACTTGGTATTTCTTTTATTCAGCCAAAGGCTGTGTACAGAGTAGAGTAGATTTATTACGCCCGTTGGAGAAACTCCAAAAAAGGGCAACTATAAACCTATAGCATGTGTACAGTTTAAAGCTTAGCTTCTGCCTCATTAAAGCCCCTGAGTCCTTGTTCTCCAGCTTTTGCTTTTACAATCTGTTCTCTTTCCTCGCTACGGTTTCTCGTGTTTTATCATTCTCCACAGCGGGCTTGCTTGGAGCTTATTCCCCAACTGTTCAGGATCCTATCTACGACACGCTTTGAAGATCTCCTAGTATGGAAGACAGGGGGATTCTAGCTTTTTATGCGCAGCTCTCTTATATAAAGTGATTCATGCGGAATCATGCCATACTTGCCCCCCTGTTCCTGGCAGCCTTACGTATATTAGCACAATGCGCATGAATAGTACACAGTCCTTAATTTCATATAGGTCCAAAAAAAAGGCGTCATGTAAAGAAGACTAAAGTGGGTTATCTCTTCACAAGCAGAGCTCTCTCTCTTATATAAGACGAACCAACTGATACAAGAACAGTCCCAAAAGCAGCTACAGTCAACACCTAGCCTTCAGCCGGCAATTTCTATCCATCGATTTCACAAACACCTACTATATTGCTTAGATGAAAACCTCAACGGCCCTCGCCGTCCTTTTTGGGCTGGCCTTGGCAGCGCCAGAAGGACCCAAGGCAACAGTTCAGAACAAGGCACCCTGGAACCTCCGAGCCATCTCTCACCGATTCCCTCACAAGCTTCCATCGGTAACTGTGTTTCGGAATTTCCAGTATTACTATGATTCGTGGACCAATGGAAAGACGTATTATGCGTATGTAGTTGACACCGGTATTCGAACTACGCATCAAGAGTTCGAGGGCCGTGCTGAAAACCTTTGGACTGCCGTTAAGACTGCTACCGGGGAGGATGACTTTAGTGACGGGACCGGCCACGGAACTCACGTAGCTGGAATTATTGCCTCCAAGACCTACGGCGCGGCTAAGCAGGCTAGAGTGCTATCTGTCAAGGTTTTCGACGACAAAAACGATGCAACTACTTCCCAGATATTGGCAGGATTCAACCACGCTGCCAACGACATTGCGGACAAGGGCCGCAAGAATACTGCCGTGATTAACTGTTCTTTGGGAGCGGCTTCATCGCCAGCGTTGAAGCTTGTCTATGAGAGAGCCCATCATAGAGGTATATTAACCGTCACCAGCGCCGGTAATAATGCCCAGAGCGTTGGTGCAGCATCAGGGGGTTCTGCAAGTGGCTCTATAACGGTTGGATCTATCAATCAAGATTGGAGTATTGCGTCCCATTCCAACTACGGTTCTCATGTCACCATTTTTGCCCCAGGAGCGGATATTCTCTCCCTTTCACACAAGAGCGATTCTGCCACTGCCATCATGTCGGGCACTTCAATGGCTGCACCCCATGTCGCCGCCGTAGTTTTGAACGCTATGGCAGCCTACTCACAAGAAAGCAGTCTGGTCGATTTCTTTCTCGAGACTACTGCAACGAGGGATAAGATTACAGGCGACCTTCGTGGCTCCCCAAACGTGCTTGTGAACAACAACAACGACAGGCAGGAGTCGTCGTGTGGCCAGCAGGACGACAGATGTTGAGAATTCCAGGGAAGGGAATTGGGGCAATTTGCGAGTGTGATAGGCTACTCACGAGGCTGTGGACCAGTTTGATGTGTGCAATGTGTCTATGACAGCAAATCTTATCCATTTCAGGTGTAGAGTCAAGGAATTCTCTACGAAATTACTTTAAATGTAAATAGTTGTAGCTATCTGAATACATTTAAGCTAAAATACTACGTCACCCCTTGCATTTTAGAGCGGTGGTGCAAGGGGTAGAATCATCCGAAGGCTGAGAGTCCGCAGGCCAAGCAATTCCTATAGCTATTATATTATCTACATAACTATCAAGGTACTTTTTTAAAGGAGATACTTCTTATACTTATTATAAGCAGAATTACACAGAATTATATAAACCTGTAGTTTATCTTATAAGGATTTCGCTTAAAAACCTGTTGTTTTCTTAGCTTTTAGTCCCTCATCTTCATCTTCATATCATCTGGAGGAGACCTATAAAACAGGTAACTACGATTAAATAGCGCATCAATATTACGACCCAGCACGTAGGCTGCAGGATGGGCCGGCTGCAAGAAGCCGCCGGCAAGGCTCGGAACCATTACACTGCTGAGCCACATTGATCACATATAAGTGGCCAATCTCTATTAAATCCATCTTCTCAGCGCCCAGCCTACCTAATATCTATTATATTTGTATCTGAAAATGGATATAATAGATGTATTTAGGTGGATTTAGGGTAGGTATTAAGGTTTTCCCCTGAGCCGGTACTTCAACGGTCCGTAGTACTTATTTTTGTATAGAATTGCCTATTAAATCGAGGTGCCCCAAATTAGCAATGCCGATCACCCCACAACTAATTTTATAACCGCCGGTATTGGCCACAGCATCTGAAACTTGAAAGCAGGGCAGACCCTGACGATGGCTTTGACGCCCTCTTCAAACATCCATATTGATGAAGCAATAGTGCTCTTTTGCATAATAGTAGAAGTAAATTTATTGTCCATACTCCAGGCAAGCCGATACCGGTCGGGTATAAAATCTGGGTGGCGGCCGACTCAGGCTACTTCCTCAGGTGGTCGTTCCATTCCAAAGTCATTGGGCCAGTTGAGTACGAGGCATCCCAATACCAGAATTTGGCGCCAACTCAAGGCATTGTCGCAGACCTTGTCAATAGGCTACCTCGACCGCCGTCTCCTCGACATGGCTTCAAGGACAATGCCTTTGTGCTTCTATTAAGCACGGCGGCTTACGATGGCTGGGAATCCCCTAAAGAGAAGCTTCATCATCGGCCGGCAAAGGCGTATACAAGTGTAAAGACAGCAAGAGTCCCATTTCAAGGGCAAGCTTGAGATTCCTCTATTAATTGACGCATACAACAACATGAATGGAGTTGATATCGGGGATCAATTACGGTCCACCAAGGTTAGACACCGAGGTTCTTCCTCCAGCTCCACAAGTTGTCTTGCGCAGTAGGTCAATCTAATCTGCTCCAGTCTCTTCCCATGGGCATGTGGATAAGCCGGCAGGTTAAAATAATTCACAAATTTCATCGGATCTGCCTCAACCATAAAATCGCGACGCCGCCCAAAACAGCCACGATGATGCTCTCGCGCCACAGCCCAGAGATATCTAGAAACGAACCAGTCAGAAACCATTCAGCTAATGACACTCATCGCAAAGGAACAGTTCAACCCGACTCGCCTGTAAGTCCAGCAAAAACATTCCCAGAGCCGCTGCGCCGCGCCCTGTCCGTTTCTGCCTCCACGCATTCCCAGTTCCTCGCATCCTTTATCCCACCGCGCCCCAAGTACACCGCTTGCAGGGGGTACGCGCACAGCGGCCGCTGCGATTCCACCCCCGCAAAGACCGAGTCGTTGCGGAACTTGGTGGCGACGATCTTGTCGGGCGCCGTGCCGCCCTCGACCCAGGCCATAATGGCCAGTATGACGTCGTGCTCGGGATCCGCGAACCCGGGGACCGAGTGGCTCGCCCCCGTTACGCTCTGCGTCCCGCCGCCAATGTACCACGGCGCCGCGACGGCCGAGCCCATGCAGTGCTCCATGCCGGGCACGTAGAAGAAGCGGTAAAAGTCGCTGACGTGGATGCCCTTGGGAGTCAGGGCGCGGTACACCTGGTCGTAGAAGTACCGGCTGCTCCCCGCGGGAATCAAGTTATCCGCCAGACCGTGGTAGTGGATGAGCTTGCCGCCCCGGTTCTGGAAGGGGGACAAGTCGAAGTCGTCGGCGGTTGCGGCCCCGGGGTTGATCTTCTCTGAGAGGAGCACGTCGCTGTACTCAAAGGTCGTGTAGTCCCAGCTGCTGTCGTTGTGCACCCAGTAGCGGAGAAAGTCGATGCCCAGGGTGGACGGCTGGGCGGAGAGGGCGGCCGCGTCGGTGCCGAGCGATATCCCGGGGAACACGAGAGCCTGCTTCGTGTCGAGGTAGTTGCTGTAAAGCCTTTCGGCCGTGTCGATCTGGGCAGCCGTCAGGCAGGCGGTCTTGTTGCCCGGCGAGCAGAGGAGCCGGTTGAAGTCGAAGCTGCAGCCGTCGGGGTCGCTGATGATGCCGTCGCGCAGGCCGTCTTGCGCATCGCACTGCCGGGTCATTTCATCTGCGATGATGCGGAATAGCGGAGGGGGTATGTGATGGGAGCTGTTGGCCGGTGTGTTTGTCAGGCCCTGCTTCATGGTCCATGGCTGGAGGTGTGTCGTCCACCAGGCCGGCGCTCCGACGACGACGCCGTCGAACGCGTCGGGGTGAAGTTGGATCTCTCGGAGGCCTTGGCGGCTCGGAGTCCTGGGCGGCCGCCGGTGGAGCAGCCGGCGTAATAGGAGAATTGTATGTCCCCGGTGTAATAGGACTGGACAATCTGCTTTGTTGCCGTGACGGAGCCGTGCATGGCTCGGTGGCCCCAGTTGATGAGCTTTTCTGGCTGATGCAGGCCCCATTTCCCATCAGTCGGCGCAGAACTGTGCCCGGTATCCGTGGACATTGTTGCAAATCCATATTGGGAGAATATGCCCTGCGATTTGGTAAGTAGACTGCTTTACAAGGAGGACGTTGTGGCGGCGGCGGCGGCTTGACTGACCATGTCGATCCAGTTGATTCCGCCTCCAAAGCCGCCGTTGCCCGTGGCCAAAAAGCGACCGTTCCAATTCGTGGGGAGGAATACGCCAAAGTTGTACGAGGTATTTCCTGGGGTTTTCGTGTTGAATGATGCGGCGCAAAGCGCTGGGAGCCCCGTGGCATTGCGTGGAAAGGGAATGTTTGTAGCCGCATCGCCAAAAGCTCCATCTTGAGGCACCTCTTCGACCTAATTGATTGATGTGCCGGGGATCGAATCCAAGATTGACTCAAAGGTCGACTGCGAGCACTTTGATTGACTGCCATGGCACCCACCGCCCAGAAGGATGCCGGCCAAGATTGGCAGCGCAGCGCGAGACGTGCGCATGGTGTTGACTAAGGTGGCAATGCAAGACTCGACCAATATTGAAGCACCTCTAGCGTTGGGCGAGTGGTCTTGAGATGGTTTCTCTCAGGAAATTGGCTGCCAGGCGTCTCCTTGATGATATTCCAACATTTAAAGTCTGGATACTCGTGCGGAAGACGCGGCATCAATTGCCGATGGAGAGAGCCGGTCGTCACTTGGACCAAAGCTGCCTAGTCGCAACGGTGGAAACGAACTTGTACAAACAGGGACCTCAATGCATGCCTAATTTATCAAGTGAATTACTCGGCAACCAATCGGGAGTCTATTAGCCGACTCTTTGGAAGACACGCCGCAGTCGACGACAAAAAGACGAATAGTTGTCGAGCATCTTCAGACTTTGATTTGTCGATTCTACAATCCTCACAACTACCAACCTAGGTAGGTAGTTATCGTATAAGGAATGCTTTGAAAATGGTTTTGAATTAGATCCAGACTCACTGGCATTGCGGAGCTGGCGCGTTGGCGTCAATCGGATCGGGACGCTTGGTGCATTGAATGTCCGGATCGGAAGTGGCGTGATTGCGGGGAACGGCGCCGGCTGTGGGGTAAAGGCTCGCAGCTAAAAAGTCAATGCACCTCGTGAGAGGTAATCGGCCCCTGGAGGTAGACAGTTACTGGGAAATTGCAGCAAATGCCAAACTAAGTAGCTGGCTCATGGCTCTATAAATTAGGGGGGGGAGAGAAGGAAGATCATTGACATGCATTGATGTTTTAGCGGCTGCTAGTAAGGTCAGTACAAATGTTTTGTAGGCGGGGTCCCGCGGAATTCTAAAGTCGCGGGTCCCCGTAAACCTCGGCGCTTCGGCGCTACCGCCTTGTCGACTCCGCAACGACACGTCACGATGCAACTTCGGCCTCGGGGGACTGCGATAACCCCCATGTGCGGATCTTTGCCAGTTGAGTTTTTTTATTGTGCGATAGTTGGACCAATTATACTTGTCAGAGATGTCCCCGGAGGTGACTGATTGCCGCACGTAAGAGCTTACAACGTCCGCTGTAAATGAATCCCAAGGACTATAACTCCCTTCGCCGTATTGCCGTTTATAATTTGTGTATTATATTTCCTTTATTGGGGTTATAGACGTAGATTGTATTATATGCCTACACTCGTCTTGTAGTATACTACTTCATACACCTATAACGTCACAATATCATGGCTACTGCGCTCCAGGAGCGGTCCATAGGGACAAATGACATTGCTGCACTATCAGATGTGCTGGAGGCCATGTCTGGTAGTTGCAACTAAAAGCAAAGAGGTAACGTTCCCGCGCCGGGGGCTTAGCAATAGTAGAGGCTGTACCATGGATACACTCTGACAGATATTATCTAGAAGGACAGGTCATAATATCTGTTCAGTGGGTTCCGTCAACTCTCTCCCTACCACCGCCTTGGTAGGTCAGTTAGGACTTGATAAAACAGCAATAGCGAACTGTGAATATCTTGTCAGCGCGGCATTGAGCCTAGTTTCCATAGCCAAATGAAGTCATTGATAAAACAGTAGCAGAACAGCCTCCGGCGTTTTCAGGCCAGAGCGTCGCCTTCATGCAGTAATCAAGTTTTCCGGGTGTACTAGAGATAAAGTCAAGCGGACAAACTTTACGCTTGAAAAGACTATATGTTATAACAGCCTGGTAGCTTGTGTTGTGACTGAACGTGTGAAGATGGCACACGGGGACTTGGCCAACTTGCCAAATGTGGGAAAAAATGACGATGTAATTTTTCAATTGGACAACTATGTGCTGCAGCACTTGCAACAAATTGCACAATCATACCGTGCATCTAGGCTACGGTCGATGGGTTCCATGTCGTTGTACTTGGTTCATGCTGGAAGCTTTCTTCACAGCTGTGGAATTTATGGGTAGCCAAGCTACCTTGCATTACAGATTCCTCCCGCCGCACAGAAATAGATGGGAAAGAATCGTTCCGTTTAGGGGCAGGTGCTAATAGGAATTCCTAATCTAGTTGGTCCCAGGGAGTGTCGTGGGTTGTTGTGACAAGGGCAAGTAATATTAGGCTAAGAATAATATTTAATATTTAGCTAATATTTTATTTTAATATTAAATTTTTTTGGTTTTTTTCAAAACTTAAATAAATAAATAACTGGGTTCCCCGAACGAGTGCGACGAATCCTATCGTGAGGAGCACCTGTTTGCCGGCGACGTGCACCATATTCGCTGGACGTGCCGGGGTCAAGAGGGCGTCGTGTAGCATTATAAAACCAAAAATTAAAGTATACTCACATGTTGCTCTGAGACGTCAACTGGTGGACCTTGGAAATTTGCTCGCAGGACACGACTGGCCGTCGACAGAGCCGAATTTTTCACAGAGAGCTGCTGGTGATACGCCAGCCCAGCCTGTTCGATGTCATGAATCTCGGTGGATCAGTACACCCCGGGGCGCTACTATGGCAGGCGGGGTCCCCACTATGGATGACAAGATGACATGGAGCCAGGCGCTTACTATAGCGTCAAGTCTGGTCGACATGTCACATGTGCAACTCAGGTGTGGTCTGGTAAGACAAGACCACCGTGCCAGATGCCGTAAGCAAAATCCGTGCAGAGACCACCTGCTCCTGCCAATATTTCAGGCTTTACCTGACCACATTTGAACACCAAGCCAACAACAGGAAAATCGCGACATGACGACAAAACCAGCCCCTACCGCAGACATGGCCAACGCCGCGCTTCATCAGACGGGCGTGGTCATGGACGCGTCGAACCATGCTACAGCCGCCACTGACGACGCAGTCTTGCAACACGACAGACATGGCGATAGCTGTCCGACGTCCTCGTCGTCATTGCCCTCTTCACCGCCAGAGCCCGCGTCTGATGCCGTGGCCAAGAAACCTTCGGCCGCGGGCGCTGCGTTGCTCATGCTTCCTCTGTGCCTGTCGGTGCTCCTGACGGCTCTCGACATCACGATTGTGACGCCGGCCATTCCCACCATTGTGGGCGCCTTCCGCTCCGTCACCGGATACATATGGATTGGGAGCGCTTTTATCCTCGCAAGCACCGCCACGACACCATTATGGGGCACCATCGCCGACATTTGGGGTCGCAAGCCCATCATGCTCATCGCCATTGTCATCTTCCTGTGTGGGAGTCTTCTGTGCGCCTTGTCACCGACCATGGACGCCTTGATCGCCGGACGCGTGGTTCAAGGCATCGGCGCCGCCGGCATGGGCACAATGGTCAATGTCATCATCTGTGACACCTTTTCCGTCCGGGATCGTGGTCTGTATCTAGGCATCACGTCGCTTGTCTGGGCATTGGGGAGTGCCGTTGGCCCCATTCTTGGGGGTCTCCTGACTACAAAGGCAGAGTACGTCTTTACTGATTGGATTGCTCGGGTTGGTGGCTCGCCCATTTTCCACCGTCTGTGACTAACGCTGCGCATGCAGTTGGAGATGGTGTTTTTGGATCAACTGTTAGTTTGCAAAACAAACACCCTCTGCACCAATGTGTCGGTTACTGATGCTGCAGATGCTGCCTAGTGCCCATTGGAGGCGTCGTCTTTGGCATTCTCATCGTCTTCCTCAACGTGTCCAACCCGGGTACCCCCCTTATGGCCGGGCTCAAGAAGATCGATTGGATAGGCGGCGCCCTCATCATCGGCTCCGTCCTGATGGTGCTTCTAGCACTCGACCTTGGTGATGTCGTCTATCCCTGGTCCTCGGCCACCATTATCTGCCTGCTGGTGTTTGGCGTCGTCGTCTTGGCCTTGTTCCTTGTCAATGAGTACAAATTTGCCAAGGAGCCCGTCATTCCACTTCACATCTTCTCCAACAAATCTTCCTCGGCAGCCTTTGGGGTATACAGTTGCAACTTTTACGTCTTCATCGGACTGGCCTACTACTTGCCTCTGTACTCGCAATCCGTTCTTGGCGCCAGCCCTCTCGATTCGGGCATCTATCTTCTTCCACTCATTGTGGCAAGTTCGCTGTCTGCTGCTTTTGCTGGGATTTTCATCCAGAAAACAGGCAAGTATCTCCGCATCATGTACGCGGGCCAGGTTTTGAATTTGCTCGGCATGGGCCTCTTTATCTACTTGCCGTTTGAGAAAGACTTGGCCAAGCTCTTCATCTTTCAGATCCTGGTCGGCCTCGGTGTCGGCATGAACATTGAGCCGCCTCTTTTAGCTGTACAGGCCGTCAACGCAGAGCGCGACACTGCAGCCGTCGTCGCCACCATGAGCTTTGTGCGCTCCATCGCCAATGCCATCTCCATTGTTGTCGGTGGCGTGATTTTCCAGAATGAAATGACAGCCGCCAACCCGAGGCTTGTCCAGGAGCTAGGCGCCAGTGTAGCCCAAGACTTTAATGGCGACCAAGCTTCAGCCAAGGTGGATGCCATCTGGGCTCTGCCCAAGGAGCAGCAACTTGTTGTGCGAGAGACATTCTTCTACTCTCTACGAGATGTGTGGATCATGGTAAACAGACATTCCCCTTGTTCTCCTCCATCCTTTGTGTTTTTTTATCTTGTCTATCCCACTGCTCGTGCATTCGAACCTTTTGGGGCTCTGCTAACCCCGTTATTTTGCGTCATGCACACGTAGTACGTGGCGTTTGCAGGTCTATCGCTTGTGCTTAATTTCTTTGTGGGCTCTCATCACCTAAGCACCGATAATCAAGAGGCTGTACTTGGTGTAGATCGTGAAAAGAAATAAGATATATAAGGCACTGAACTTCAAACTCCGGTAGAGGCGGCTCGGCAATAGTTTTCACAAACTAGATGCAAAGGGCGGACAATATATGGGCGGCAATATGGATGGTAATGTAATGATAAAATACCGCATGGCACCAAATGTTACGCAGGTCACAGGGGCTTGATCACGAGACCTAGGCAAATTCCCTCACCGACTTTTGTATTTAACAGGTCTTGGTCACTTGGGCCTTGAGACCTTGAATACCAAGGACTGTTATTAGATGAATAGAGCAAAATGCCCAAAGCCCTCGTATAGCCCTTGTCACACCAGATTGGTATATAACATGGACTCTATTCCGCGGTGGTGAATATTCAGCTAAAACCACATATTCAGCCAAAACAGAATCATTATCTATCTCTGCCGCCGTGTTCCCATCTACTCATAAAGCGAATATTCATATCGTGCTGAGCCGTGAGTCCATGATTCACCCACTTAAAAGGCTCCATAGGCGAAACCATGGACATGTCAAAACGGTAAAAGAGCTGTTATACACACAGTCAGTCGACTTGCACTTTACGTTTCTCGTCTTTCGCTTTATATCATGGAAGAAAATGGGAGCTGGGCCTTCTATCTTGACTCACCTCGAAAATCACCTTGCCCATCTCCACATACGCCAGCCTCTTACCAAGACACTCCCACCGTGTACCCGTAGCAAATACAAGCCCATATATGGCCTCCATGTCCTTAAGCTTGTCCGGCTTGGCATCTAGCCACCGCCGAGGCTCATATACATCGGCATCACCGCCAAAAATGTTCTTGTCGTACATAATTGCCAGGGCGGCCCAGCCGACCTGAGTCCCGGCGGGGATATACTTGCCGCATATTTCGTCATCACGATCAGACACTTTGCCCATGATGCCCATGCTCGGTGGCCACATGCGGAGACCTTCGCGAATACACGCCTGGAGAAAGGGAAGGGACTTGGCATGGTCGTCGGCGATGATGGGCCGCGCGGCTGATTTCACGGCCGTGTCAATCTCTGCCTGTAGAGCACGGTAGGCGCTTGCATTTGTCGTCAGGAAGAAGATGATGTTGCGCAGGGCGGTGGCCGTGGTGTCTGTGCCGCCGAAGAGAGTGACGAGGGCCTCCGACTCGACTTGCTTCCGTGTCATGTCGGAGTCGACAAAGGTCTGGAGCATGTCGTTGCGGCGAATGGCCGAGGCGCCGAAGCGCCTGTCGCAGTGGGCCTTGATGACGCCGAGGAAGCGGCCGACGCCGTGCGTATCAGTGGGCTTGGGGAGAAGGGGTTTCATGATGGGGGAGCTCAGGATGGCGCGGAGGACGGGGAGAAAGGAGATGATGTGCACGGGGAGCAGGACGGTCTCGCACGCGCGGATCACGCCAAACATGTCTTCGTCCGCGTCGAGGTATCCGGCTGCCTGGCCGAAGCCGACGGCTGTAATGACGTCTTGGGTGAGGTATTGCATTGTGCGGGCGAGGTTGCACGGCCGGAGGGTGTCGCGGGTGGACAGGTATTTGCGTTGGAGCAGCTGTATGAGCTTGAGGATCTGCGTGTCGGCTGTTTCCTCTTGGTTGGGCATGCCCTTGCCCGAGTAGCCGGGCAAGAGGCGCGAGCGGATGTCATGGTGAGCCTTGTTGTCGGTGAGGGTCAGGACGTTGTCGTTGTCGGGGTCGAGCCGGGTGGCCTTGTACCAGTCGGCGCGATGGTAGCCGGACCGGATGGCCCAGATGCGCCGGATTTCTGTAGCGTCGCTGCACACAACCCAGTCGGGGCCGACGCGGGCAATAGGGCCTGTTGAGAGGAGCGCATCACGTTAGCTGGGTGTGACGGACTGACGCAGCTGGTGTGTTTATGTTTTCTTTCCTACCATATGTCTTGGTGACGTCTTCCAATCTCTTGCAGAGTGTTCCGGGAAGGACGTGGCGCAAGAGCCAAATTTTGCTCCAACCGGCAATGGCTGGGCCGGGAATGTGAGAGAGCTTCTTCCACTGTCGATACCGAGGCAGTATCAGACCGGTATAGATTATTGCAGTGAGTAAGACGACCACGTATGTGGCTGTGATGAGGGCCATGGTTTGATAAAGAAGCTAGATGGAGATGTAGGGGACATGAACGACGAGTGATGGCAAGGGTATCGTCGCCGACAAGCCGACGGCGAAGATGAGAAGGGGAGGACGGGAATACTTGAGTTGGATAGGGTAGAGTGTTGTGCTGGGTTGCTCTCGTGGTCGTTGCTTGCCGGAGCGTATTTGGAATCTAGACGAATGGCTTCGACATCGAGTCAGATTGGGGGTTGTAGGATCGACGTCTTCTTCATAAGCACTAAGTTGAGATGAGCTCAACACTCAACATGCTGAGTTGCCTGTGCAAAACGAATCTATCAATGATATCTCACCGTTGCCATGCTCTTTGCCGTGAGCCACTGTCGCTAGGGACACGCCCCATTAGTATCGCAGGTACTTGAGGGTCAACTATAATTGTTTGGCGCCATGTGCGGTTCGCATGCCGACACGATTAGCGCATGCATTAGTGGGGCACACCCGCCCAAGTCGGTCTAGCGCAAACATGGAAGAGATATGCCGTCAGCGCTAGAAGGCTGCAGATGTCTCCACATAAGCCGTTGGGTATCCCGGGAAGGTCCGCCATTAGTAAGGACTAAGAGCACTTGACTTGACATATGCAGTATGAGCTCGCGTGACTGACTTTGCCTACGCTGACAAGGTGTTGGGCGGTGGCCCCGGACGTTGCAGTCCTGTTTTGTTTGCAACCCGCTTTGGCAAGGATTTCAAAGACAAAGAGAGGATGACGGATTTAAAAAAGGGGGGGGAAACAGACGTGAGACAATGGGGGATGACAATACATCCTTGTTAAAGAGAGTAAGCTGCGACAACTAAGCCTTATACTGTGCCTCGAGGGGATAAATCTCAGCACATATAAACTGGGAAACTCGGTGCCGGAGAACTTTACCTTTGAGGTTTGGTATTTTTGCGTTGCCAAATCAGAATCGACGATCCATTGAATAATTGCCTCGTCAGTGCCGATATTCGTCCGCGATTCTGCGCCCATACATAGACGAACCTGATCCTAACGACATGACGCGGCGCGAAGAGGTCAAGTTCAAAACGGTAGATGGGGTTGTGCTGCGAGGCCATGTCTTCCCTGCCCAGAGCAGGGGACCCGGCGTGGTCATGAGCCCCGGTGTAAGTCGACACTGCTCCCAAGCCTAGCCCGCGTCAGCATCGGCGTCTTGCCATTTTGGCGGCTAACAATCAAGGCTCCAGTTCAACGCCACGGCAGAGATGCTCGGGCTTCCGACAACGGCGGCCGCTTTCCAGGCAGCGGGCATATCGGCACTGGTGTACGATCCCCGAGGCGTGGGGTTGAGCGACGGCGAACCGCGCAACAACATCAACCCGCACGTGCAAGTCGACGACATGAGCGACGCCGTCACCTTCATGCTGTCGCACACCTCCGTCGACCGGCGCCAGGGCGTCGGCCTCTGGGGCATGTCCCTGGGCGGCACCGTGGCCATGGCCGCGGCGGTGCTGGACCCGCGAGCCCGTTGGCTCATTGTCGTGTCGCCGGCCACGGAGCCCACGCACAACATGGTCAAGATGCGCCAGGTCCTGGTCCAGGCCGCGCGCGACCGCGAGTCGCAGGTCAAAGGCAACGCGCCCTACATGGTGCCCATGCTGGACGGCCGCGGAGAGAACCCGGCCGGCTTCGACCCGGGGCTCGAGCGGGCCAGCGTCATGCGCATGCTCCAAGCTTACGACGATGCCAACGTGCTGCGAGCCGCACTCGCGCCTCACCACGTCAACCGCACCACCATAGGCACCTACCGGCACATGCTGCTGTGGGATTCTCGCCACCTGTGGAAGCTCATCACGCAGCCGGTCCTGTTTGTCATTGCAAAGCAGGACGACCTGATTGGCACCGATAAGCAGGTTGCCCATTTCGAGGCGTTGCAGGCTCCGAAAAGGCTCCATGTGGCCGACGGCGCCACCCACATGGATATACTGGACAATGCTCACCAGGAACGTGTCAACCAGGCGCAGGTACTTTTTGTCCAGGACGCCCTTGCCGGTCGGGTCGTATCCCCTTCACTATTGTAAAGGTAAGAAGACGGGTACTAGACGGCAGGCACGGGCAAGGATGCGTTGTGTGATATTCTTGGAGTTGTGTCAATGCTACACTATGAACTAGATATCTTCTCGGCTAAATGCGGCGAGTGACACTCGAAAATCCTATATAAAGAGGCTGTTTTGTCATGGCCGGACGAAATACGAAAAATAGACTTGATAATTTCAATTTTAAGTGCGCATTTAACTCGTAAATATCATCGAGGTCCAAAAGTACGCCACTTTGTCAACAAAGAAGATGACCGTCACATTAAGCCTGGAGTGGCGTCGGCCCGCAACGTCAGCACACGCAAGACTACAATTTCACAAATTACGCTTACACGCAGCGAAGCTTGTCATGTCAGCGGTGGCTCGTGAGTTTTTGTAACGGCCGACATTGGACCGTGAACGGGTCTGGTCAAGTCCCGGGGAAAAGGCACGCTAATGTACTGACATATTCCGGAGCACCCGCCTGTAGGTAGACAGTCTCATGGAACTTTTGGCTGTAGGATCGGTGAGACGACTCGGATGAGTAAGGAGCGGGGATCCATCCCTTCAATGGAATCAACAGGCACACCACACGGCTGGGTGGCCATACAATGTAAGATCTAGATCCCGTATTTAGCCCGGTTTGCGTTTTCCCCTTTTTGGTGGTTTTGGGTTTAGAAGGAAGTGGGGGGTAGGAAGGGTGAGAAGAATAGGGGGAAACCCGGGATATCCCTCTTTGATGATATCTGGTGATGCTGGGGTTACATCGGACGTCTCATCCCACATGTGCACTGTTCGAGGCTGGAGTGTGCCTCGAGTACTTACCTGGGAACCCAACCAATACAGCCTGTGTGCAAGGTTCTTTACGTCGTAGCCAAATGCTCGTAGAGGTCGACAAAAGAAGACGCAGATTCTAAGCGAGACTGATTTGATCGTATCTTGTCCAGCCGCGAGACATTTGCTGCTTCGTCCCGTATCTTTGCTCTTGCCCGTCGCCGATATGCCTGTTGTCATGTCTAGGACAAAGTGCGGCCTGCTGCTGCTGGCAGCAAATGTCATGATTCCGCTGGGCATGCTCATCTTCATGACGGGCCTGTTTCGTAGTCGACCGTGGGCCGCAGCAGGTGGTCAAGACGATCCGGTGCCGAAGCCTCAGCGTCATGCAGCGCCGCCGTTTGACAAAGTCATCTTCATGGTTGTTGATGCACTGAGAAGGCAAGTCCAGGCGCTCAGCATGGCGACGTGAAATTCCAACGACTGACTCTGGACGTGGTTTCGCAGTGATTTTGTCTTTACCCGAGAGAGTGGCTTCCCCTTCACACAGAGGTAAACAAGCTGGGAGAATCCGTTTTGCCATCAGACTACGAGACATGGCTGTGCGCTGACATGGTAGTGCAGTCTCATACGGTCCGGCGTGGCAATCCCATTCACGGCTCTTGCAGCCATGCCAACCCTCACCGTATCTCGCATCAAGGCCTTGACCCAAGGCTCAAGCCAGTCGTTCCTCGACGCCTGGCTCAACGTGGCCAACTCGCCCGAGGCCATGCGCCTAGACGGCGAAGACACCTGGCTATCGCGACTCAAGGCCTCCCGCCGAGGCACCAAGAAGATTGTGTTTTACGGCATCGAGATGTGGGTGGACTTGTACCCCGACATCTTTGATCGCAAAGAGGACTTTTCATCTTTCCACGTTCCGGGCCTCACCAACATCGACACCAACGTCACGAGGCACCTGCCCGATGAGCTTGCGCGGGACGATTGGGCGGCGCTCGTTCTGCACTATCTCGGCCTCGACTGCATCGCCCACATGGGAGGGCCGAGATCCGCTCACATGCGGCCCAAGCAGTTGGAAATGGACTCGGTGGTCGAATCCATCTACAGGACCTTGGAGACGGAGGCGCACATGGAGGGCACGCTGCTTGTTCTCCTCGGCGACCACGGCATGACGGCGCAGGGAAACCACGGCGGCCGCCTCCCCGAGGAGCTGGCCGCCGCCACCGTCTTTATATCGCCGAGGCTGCAGGGCACGACGTCGATACGGCGAGACTCGCCCCTGGCAACAGCACAAGACTACCTGTACTACTCTACCGTGAACCAGATTGATATTGTGCCCTCTCTTTCGGGGCTCCTGGGGTTTCCGATACCTGAAAGAAACGCGGGAGTATTCATCCCCGAGCTTTTGCCTGCGTTGGGAGACGGCGACGCAGCGGCCGAATTTTTGGTAGAAAATGCCAGGCAGCTTCGCCACGCCCTTGGCTCTTCCATGCAGCATCTTGACTCAAACTCCAACCTGTCTAGACAAGACGGAAGCTACACAGACTGTGAGGAGTATGGCAGCGAGCTAGGACGAGCCATGTGCCTCTGGGACGTTGTAGTAGAGGCTGAGAAGAATTGGCAGATTGCGCCGAGCGCTGAAGCCAGAGAAATATTGAAGAGTTCCATCTACAAGGCATGTGTCAAGTCAAACTACCTACGATGCCCCCTTCTTTACGTTTTCCCTTGATTCTTTTTTCTTGTTTCATTTTGATTAATACTTCGAGTTGATAGTTTGCAAAAGTGACCCAGAGCCTATTGGGCGTAGCGGTCGACAACGTCAGCCTTGGTCGACTTCTCATCGGCATGACCTGTCTCGCGGTAGCCGTGGGACTCACACACAGGAGTTACACATCACTCGACGTTACAAAATGGCCCCTATTTGCCGCCACGGCTAGCCACGCAGCGACCATGTTCATCCCGTGGCTCGTTGAAGAGGAACACCACTACTGGTACTGGGGCTCGCTGGCGTGGCTTGTATATCTCGTGTCTGCAAGGTTTGTCTCACGATGCCCGCTTCTGCCACGTTGTCACAAACCGAAATGTCTAACACCAGCATGTCTTGCATGCAGGGCTCGCGGACCAGACCGCCCTCTTGTGCCCTCTGTAGGTCTCGTGGCTCTGCAGTTCCTGAGCCAGTGCGTCAATCAGAATGGCACCAAGTACTCCATCGCCGAGCACATGGACGATTTCATTTTTGAAAACCCCGCGGTTCTCTGGATCCCTGTGCTTCTATCTCACACTTGTGCTGGTTTATCCATTGCCCAAAACCTACGTGCTGGACTGGGTCGACACGCAGCCTTTGGCGCCGCGCTGGCGCTGTGTGCGGCCGCCGTCATCTTCAAGCTCTCGTCGACCTATGATTTCAACCCGGAACTGCTGGGTTTCGCGTCTCAGCAGGCACAGCATTTCATAGCTACGCTGAGTCAAGACCGTCTTCTTAAAGCTTTTTGGACTGGCCTGTTGAGTTGCCTCGTCTACTACCTGCTACATCATTGGCTTGGGGCCAAGCCTTTGCGATCGGGTGAGTTGCATGCTCATTATCATAGGTTTCGTTTGCTGGGCTCTGTTGACCTGTTTCTCAAGATACTATAAGGAAAGTGGTTGAGCTGTTCAACTTGTACCTTCGATCGCAGACGCGTCCCAAAAACCTTCCCTTGTTTCTAATGTTCGACTATCAGCTTCAGGTCTTGTGTAAGTTTGTCTTTGCACACGATGCGAATAAACAAAAATGGAGACTGACGTTGTTTTCTTGCTACATTTAGTGAAGATGAATCTGTCGGCTGTTGAAACGGCAACGACTGTGCTCCTGTTGGGCCAAAGCGGCTTCTACAGCATGGGGCGGAGCAACTCCATCGCCACGCTCGACCTACTGAATGGTTTCAACGGACTCGGTGCATCTAGTGTGGTTGGCGTCATGCTGCAAACCGTCTTGAGCAATTGGATCGGCCCTGTTTGGTGGCTGTTTGCCGGCCTGCGTCTCTTGTCATCGCAGGCAGATACAAAACAAGAGCCCTTCGGGGGGAAACAGAATGGCAACGCCGTGAGTTTCCATGACAAACAGTCGTCATCAAGCAGACGTGTCGAGGGGCGAAAATCTCGAGTTGAAGCCGGCGAATCCCCTTATTTTGAGTATTTAGCCCTTCACACCATGTTCTCGGGCCTGAGCTCGCTGGCGCTCACCGTCGTCTGCGTATACACATGGGGTCATGAAGATCTCTGGAACGTATTTGCTCCCAAGTTCATAAATGCATCTCTGTGGGCATTCTTTTATCAGTTGGTCATGAACTGCCTGGGCTGCTCGTCCGTGTGGTTTATAATCAACGATGCGGAGTGACTGGACTGAGTTGAGGAGACTTTGATAATGGGTTCACGTGAGCCACACATGTTTGGACGTTGGTGGTCTTGCATTTGGTGCAGTTTCGGGCTTGTAGATTTTGTACATTGCTGAGGGACTCTTTCATGTGACGCAAATTAGTCAAAATTCCCCGTTGTTTGATTGGGTTTGAAATGTCGTGAACACTGCTGCATTCCCATGGTTTTATTTAGGGGTTAAATTATTAAATTGACTTTTTTCAGCCGGTCGTCAATAATTGAAATTTTTCAGTGGTGATAGTTGTTCTACTCCGCTGAAGGCGAAATCATTTCAATACGGAGTTGTCTTTGATCATCTGAGATAGTGGTAGTATGAAAGGAAACGGTTAACCTTTCTCATTCAATCAAACAATAAATTCTCTTGTTCCTCCTTGACAGGTGTCCTCTTATTTAATTTAGACGCTTCAATCAAAAGCTCACGTAAGCCTGTGTGATACTGCACAACTTGTATTCCTTGACTGATTTCACTTGCCAATTACAACGCCAAGCATTTGATCTATTTTTGAAGCTAGATTTATAAAAATGAGACATGTGCTATGGCTTGCTCTGGTGGAATTGCAGTGCTGCGACGAATCTGTGTGTTTGTGTGTGCATAGAGGTGCGTCAAAACGCCCGGAATTCAACTAGATTTCTCACCATGGCACGCCTCCCATGATATCCGTTTGGGGTGATTTGTCAAGTCACTAATATGTGTCTTGATATGTCATTACATACATGTCAACATCTTCTACAGGAGCTACGGGCATTCCGGCAGGACCAAAAAGAGAAGAGAGAGCCGAAAGACGGCTTGGTCAAGGGCCGCCTATTGTTGGATCCTTTTCCTCCGTGGCTCATCGGTTAACCGCAATCATCCTCGTGACACGCCTGTGCGTGGCTCCCGGCTCCTTACAGCTGACATCTAGCCCGTCTCGTCTTCCATCAGACGTGACATGTGCGGGAAAACCGGGGTAGTGGAAGGTAAGAAGTCTCTTGCTGACGTGGGATGGAATTGACGGCACCAGACCTTGAAGTCTTGCGACACAATTTTGTGCCGCTATGCTATCAAGTCGTGATACGAGGATCTGGGGGCTACCCAGTTTCCCTACCTGCCTACTACGAGCAGCTTGTGACGACTTCATTGGTAGTCTTATTTGCATCCGCATCAGACGAGTGCACCATTGATCTCGGACAAGCCCGTTAGGTCAAGTCCCGAGCCTCTGGAGTCAGCAGAAGCTCTCCATGTCCATTTAATGTTTCCAATCCCACCATTCAGACGGGGCTTGGCGGCTTAGTGGCGCCCATCCATGTTCTTATCTCATCGAGGTAGACACAAGTAGCCTCTTTGCCCTTGACAGGTTGCAAATTATAATCACACCCCTCTCCCATGTTCTCATCCATCATCCTTCCAACTGCAGTCGATCGTCTTGGCAGTCTTGTAGTTGCCAAGAAACGACACGTAGACGGTATTTTGGCCACTATTCACTTTGTCTCTCCATGATTCCAAGTCCCCTTTGCTTGCGCATTTCACGATTGTAAAGGGAACTTGGCTTTGGCGGAGATGGCTCTCGTCAGATCAGGTTTTGCTTGGTTTACTGCGGGCGGGATCCTTGAAGCCACCGGCACTGGATGGAGCACATACCGGCAAACAGGACGGCAGACAGGACAGGCCTCGCTCGCGTATGCTCGTCCCTCCTATAAGATATAAAAGACTTCCCTTGATTTGGGAGTGAAGCAGAAAAAGCCAAAGAAAGAATAGACATCCGCGCCATCTGAAGGCCATTCCATCAGCGTCTACCCTGGCGCCCCCCTCCCATCCATCACTTACTTCATTATTCATCATCAAGACTCTGTTTCAACGTGATCCCCGTTCTCCTCACTTTATAGCATCATGACACAGGTTACAGACATGCACCCCTCCCTTCCCAATGGCACCAACGGCCACATGGGCCATGACAGCCACAATGGTTCCTATCCCAGTAACAACTCGAACCATACAAACGGTACATACGGACATGGCCTCTTGGACGCCGGCGCAACAAAGAGCAACGGTCATGGCCCTAGGGCGGACCCAAATGTCCAGACACCCGTGGCCATTGTAAGCATGGCATGCCGTCTACCGGATCAATGTCACAACCCGCAGCAGTTCTGGCAGTTCCTGCTGGATGGCAAGATCGCCATCAACACACCCCCGGGCACCAGGTATGAGCTCGCAACACACTACGACGGGTCTCTAAAATCACAGACTATGGCTTCACCTGGCGGCATGTTCCTTCAAGGCGTCGACCCAGCCGACATTGACGCCAAGTTTTTCCGCCTCTCGGGGGTCGAGGCCACTTCCATGGATCCGCAGCAGCGGCAGCTCCTGGAAGTCGTCTACGAGGGTCTGGAGAACGCCGGTGTGACGATGGAGCAGCTCGATGGCGCCCGGGTTGGCTGCTTCGTGAGCTCCTTTGCCAGCGACTACGGCGACATGCAAGCTCGCGATCCTGAGAATCGCGCGTCGGCCACGGTCGTGGGCGTGGGCAGAACCATGCTCAGCAACCGCATCAGCCATTCTTTCAACCTGAAAGGCCCCAGGTACGTTGACGATGCCGGCAAAAGATGAAACAAGTCCACAACTCTAGAGTCTAACCCGTTCTTTACAGCATGACCATTGACACAGCTTGCTCGGGCACCCTAATCGGCCTCGACCTGGCCATGAAATATCTCCACACTGGAGAGATAGAGTCGGCCGTGGTCGCCGGAGCCAATCTTTATTGCAGCCCAGAGCACGTCATGGATCACTACATGGGCGCCAATGGTGCCGCCTCGCTGACGGGCAAATGCCACACATTCGACTCCAAGGCCGACGGCTACATCAAGGCCGAGGCCGTCAACATGATCTACGTCAAGCGTCTCGACGATGCCATCCGGGACAAGGACCCGATCCGGGCTGTTGTCCGCGGCACCGCCACCAACAGCGACGGCTGGACGGCCGGCATCGCGAGCCCGAACCCCGTGGCACAGTCGGCTGCCATTCGCCAGGCATATAAGAACGCCGGCATCCGCGACCTGTCCAAAACTAGCTACGTCGAGTTCCACGGCACGGGGACACGGGCCGGCGACTCCATCGAAGCCAGCGGCATCGCCGACGTCTTCGCCGAGTTCCAGTCTCCGGACCGGCCCTTGCGGATCGGGTCCGTCAAGAGCAACATTGGCCACTCGGAACCTGCTGCCGGCCTGTCGGGGCTCATCAAGACGGTCCTGAGCCTGGAGCACGACGTGATTCCCGGCAACCCTACCTTCATCGACCCAAGCCCCAAGATTGACTTTGAGAAGCTCCGTATCTGGACCTCTCGGACGGCCACCCCTTGGCCCGCGCTGCCCCTGCGGCGGGCGAGCATCAACTCCTTTGGCTATGGAGGCTCCAATGCCCACGCCATCGTCGACGAGGCCAAGGGCTTCCCGCGCCACCACGTCTCGTCGTATGACGACCAGAGCCGTCTTAGTCTCGTTGAGGAGGAGCAGGCCGACCAGAGGCAGCGCATCATGGTGCTCTCGGCAAACAGCGAGAAGTCGTTGCAGGACCAGTTCTCGGCGCTGGACAAGCACCTCTCGAATCCTGGCGTCGTGGTCAAGCAGCGTGATCTTGCGTATACCCTCAGCGAGCGCAGGTCTCGCCATTACTACCGTGGCTTCGTCCTTGCGTCCGACCACTATCTCGACGCAGAGGCCTTTGAAACAGACCGTATGCGCGACGAGCCACTCTCCATTGCCTTCATCTTCACCGGCCAAGGCGCCCAGTGGCCCGAGATGGGTCGAGAGCTGCTGGCCAGTTTCCCCGTCGCCGCCAAAACGGTCCAGCACCTCGACGACGTCTTGCAGAGTTCATATGGCGCCCCGGCCTGGACTCTCTATGATGAGCTCACCAGCCCTCGCTCCGCAGACCACATGAGGCTGCCTGAGATGTCCCAGCCTCTCGTCACAGCCCTACAGCTGGCCATTCTCTCCATCTTTGACGCGGCCGGTGTGTCCTGTCGCGCCGTCGCAGGTCACTCCTCGGGCGAGATTGCCGCGGCCGTCGCCGCCGGCCTGTTGACCCCCGAGCAGGCCATAAAGATTGCCTTTTACCGTGGAAAGGCCACGTCCGCTGTCAAGCACGGCTCGCCTCTCGGCATGATGGCAGTAGGCATGGGACCTGACGCCGCCCTCAAGTACTTGGACGGCTCCTCGGTCCAGATTGCTTGCTTCAACAGCCCCCAGAGCATCACCGTATCGGGCCTCAGGTCGGAGCTGGAGCCCATGGAGCAAAGAATCAAAGACGACGGACACTTTGCTCGCCTTCTACAAGTGGACTCTGCCTATCACTCGCGCTATATGAATGCCGCCGCCGGTGCGTACAGGGAGCTACTGGACAAGCACGTCGAGTGGGAGACTCGGCCGGCGCCAAAGGGCAAGATTATGTTTTCGTCCACCACCAACAAGATGCTCGCCGAGTCGCCCGGCGCCGACTATTGGGTCAAGAACATGCTCTCGCCCGTCCTCTTCAGCCAAGCCGTCACGAGCATGGTCCGGGCAGAGAGCAGCGACATCAACTACCTCGTCGAGATTGGGCCCAACAATGCGCTCTCGGGCCCCGTCAACCAGATACAAAAGGCAGCGGCAACGTCTCTCGACTACTCGTCGGCGTGGAAGCGAGGGGCCGGGGCCATGCAGACGCTGCTCGAATGTGCCGGCAAGCTCTTCAACGCCGGCTCGGCCATGAGCTTGTCGCCCTTCAACGACGATGGCCTGCCGGTGCCTCCCACGTTTGTGCTGGACCTGCCCAACTACCAGTGGGATCACTCGACAAAGTACTGGCACGAGAGCGAGTCCAGCTCCGACTGGCGGTTCCGCAAGTTTGTCCACCACGACTTGCTGGGCAGCAAGATCCTCGGCACGCCGTGGACGCGGCCCATCTGGAAGAATTTCCTGCGCGTCAGCGACGTGACCTGGCTCAAGGACCACACGCTGGGCGACAGCATCATCTTCCCGGCTGCCGGCTACATGGCCATGGCCATCGAGGCCATGTACCAGAAGAGCAAGGCGCTGGGGGCCATTGCCGACGACGCCACCGTCGTCGACCAGACGTATAAGCTGCGCAACGTCGCGTTCCCGCGCATGTTGACGCTCAACGAGCATGCCGGCACCAAGCTCGTGCTCTCGCTGGAGCCGTGCTCGAGCACCAAGGAGACGTGGCACGAGTTCACCATCTCGTCCATCCCCAAGGACGGAAACGGCGCGCTCGAGGAGCACTGCACGGGGTTGGTGTCTGTTGGCCATGACGTCGGCCACGTCGCGACGGCCGACGACGTGAGTCCCTTGAAGTTTGGCGTCCCAGGATCCGTGTGGTACAAGGCCATGAGGGACGTGGGCTACTTCTTCGGTCCGGCCTTTCAGCCCTGCGAGTCCATCGAGGCCAAGGCCGATGCGCGAAACTGCAGAGCCGTCATCAAGCTTGAGACGCCGTCGTCGCGGTATCCCCAGAGCAAATACGCCATGCACCCGACTGCCATTGATGGCTGCCTCCAGATTGCCACGGTGGCTCTCAACCGCGGCCATCGCTCGGCTCTGGACACCATGATGCCACCTCGTCTGATTGACAACCTCGTCATCTTCCCGCAACCAGACCATGTTGAACGCGGCATCGTCGCCTCCGAGGCCATGTGGAGTGGCGTTGGCCGCCCCGACGACAACAAACGCTTCTACAGCGACATTCGCACCTATGCCCAGGGTTCGAACGAAGCTCTTTTCCACCTGCAGGGACTCAGATACCACTCCATTGGCGCGAGCGCGGATGCGCCTCACGTCTTTACTCAAGTCCAGTGGGCAGAGGATGCCGGCTTCCTCACGCCCGAGCAACTCTCGGCTGTCATGGCCTCGGACGAGGCTCCGCCGATGGCTGCCGTTGCCAAGGCCGTGTCCATCATGGCTCATAAGAAGCCCACGAGCAAGATTCTCGAAGTCGTGTATCGGGACGGAGAGGCCGCTGTGCATAGTATGTGGCTGGACGGCCTCCGCCAGCTCTCGGGTCCCATTGCCGAGGGCTGCGCGTATGCTTTGTCGGCGCCGGCTCACACGACGTCTCTTGCGCTGAGGGAGAAGTACTCGACTGAAGCGAATGTTACGCACGTGGTACATGAGTCAGACTGCATTACTGCCGGCGTTGATGGTGATGATGAAGATGACAAGATTGACGTTGTGATATTGAGAGCCCCCGCCATCACTCCTGATCTTATCAAAGCCGTTGAAGGAGCTCGACAAGCGATAGCCGATGGTGGATACCTGATTGTTGTTAAAGACGGCGTCACAGATGTAAAAACTGGTGAGGATCTGACATGGACTGTTTTTAAAGCTGTATATATTCTAACATGCCCTTTCAGACCAGGCGAATGAAGTGGTGGAGGCATCAGTCCCCGGATTCAACGCCGTCAAGCTCTCTGGGAACTGCGTGTCGGACGTCATCTTCTTTGGCATCGCCAGCAACAGTGAATCTCGGGTTCAAGACTCGGCTGACAAGACAGTCAACCTGGTGCGCTTTACAACCAGCAATCATTCTACTGCTGCTGCCCGGGGTGCCATTGCCAAGCAAGGATGGCAAATTGTCGAGAAAGACCTCTCGCTAGGAGGAATCGAGGACAAGAGCACCGTCATCGTCTTGGATGAAATGTTTTCCCCCGTCTTGGCCGACTTGCAGGATGAGCAATTCGACGCGCTGCGAGGATTACTTGAGCGCGAATGCAAAATCCTTTGGGTCACGAGAGGGTAAGTCTTTGCCTGAAAAGAAAAGAAATCATGTGCTGCTTGTTTAATCTTGCTGACTGCTACCGTCACAGATCGCAAATGACTGTCCGCACGCCGGAGCTCGGTCTCATGTTTGGCGCATCTCGATCACTCAAGGCCGAGTATCCCCAAAGCGTATTCGTCTGTCTGGATGTCGAAGCCAACGACAGCCATGCCAGCTTCGGCGCCATAGACAGAGTCCTCAAGCACCTGGGCACGCTCACCGACGTGTCCAAGGTTGACAGCGAGTTTGTGGAGCGCCAGGGCGTCTTATACATCAGTCGTGTGATTTCTGATGCGGCCGTCAACAAAGTCGAGCATGACAGTCAGCACGGCGCCGACAAGGTCAACGGCATCATCGGCGGCCATGAATCCACAATTCGACTCATTAGCGACAGGACCGGCACCCTGGATACGCTCACGTACACTGAGATTCCAGACGTGCCTGCCCTCAAGGACGACGAGGTTGAGATTGAGGTGCGCGCCGCCGGCATGAACTTCAAGGACCTGGCCAACGCCATGGGCTTTGTGCCCGCCAACGAGCGCCTGTTTGGGCTTGAATGTACCGGCGTTGTGACTGAAATCGGAAAAGACGTGAGCACCGTCAAGCCCGGCGACAGAGTACTCATGGTCCGTCGTGACGGCGGCTGCTTTGGCAACAAGGTCCGCAACCGCTGGCACGCCGTCTATCTCCTGGAAGATGACATGTCCTTTGAAGAGGGAACGACGTTTGGCATCGCCGTGCACACAGCCGTCTACGGCCTCGTGACAATGGCCAACATTCAAAAGGGGCACTCGGTGCTGATCCATTCCGCCTCGGGCGGCGTCGGGTTGGCGGCCATTGATCTCTGCAAGTACATTGGCGCCGAGATCTACGTGACGGTGGGCACAGAGGCTAAGCGGGATTTCCTTGCCCAAAACTACGGCATCCCCAGGGACCGCATGTTTTCCTCTCGCTCCGTCTCGTTCGGCCCGGAGCTGATGAGGGCCACGGGTGGACGTGGCGTCGACTTCTGCCTCAACTCCCTGACGGGGGACCTGCTGCATGAATCGTGGAGATGCATTGCGGAGAATGGCAGTCTTATCGAGATTGGGAAGAAGGACATGCTCGACCGCAATAGCCTGTCCATGGAGCCGTTTGACCGCAACTGTTCGTACCGCCCGCTAGATCTCTCGCGTCCCAGCATCACCGATGAGACGACGCGCAAGACGGGCGAGTACATTATGGACCTGATTGCCAAGAAGCACATCAAGCCGCTCCATATCTGCAAAGTGTTCCCATTCGAGCAGACCGCCGAGGCTTTCCGTTTCATGCAGCGCGGCAAGCAGATTGGCAAGGTGGTCATCTCGTACGAAAAGGCGCGCACAACAGAAATTGAATACCGGCCAGCAGCGCCGCAGCTCCGCCTCCGTCCGGACGGGTCGTATCTCATCGCCGGTGGCTTCAAGGGGTTGTGCGGCAGCTTGGCCGTCTACCTGGCTCGCAGCGGCGCCAAGAACATTGTCGTCATCTCACGCAGCGGCTACGACGACGAAAAGTCGCAGAAGACGGTGTACGACTGCAACTCTCTAGGCTGCAGCGTGGACCTCGTCACGGGCGACATTACCAAGCTCCATGACGTCCGGCGAGCGTTTGCCTCGGCGTCCAAGCCCGTCGTCGGCGTGATCCAAGGTGCCATGGTGCTACGAGATCGCATGTTCACCACCATGACACCAGACGAGTTCCGCGAGCCCATCTCGCCCAAGGTCGACGGAACATGGAACCTGCACAAGGCGTCGTTGGAGCAGCCCACGCCCCTCGACTTCTTCACCATGCTGTCCAGTGTGAGCGGACTCCTGGGCCAGCTGGGACAGTCCAACTACGCGGCGGCAAACTGCTTCCTCGACTCCTTTGCGGCATATCGTATCCAGCAGGGGCTTCCCGCCAACGCCATCAACCTCGGCCCCGTCGAGGAGGTGGGATACCTCAAGGACAAGGACATGCTCAGCCGCATCTTCGAGTCGCGCGGGTGGAAGCCCATCAATGAAGCGCTCCTGCACCGCATCATCCGCTCCAGCATCCTCCTGCAGACCAACAAGATCAACCCGGCGCAGGCTGGGCAGCTCATCACGGCCATCACGCCCGGCAACCCTCCGTTCGAGGCCCTTCACCGCTTCAGCTCGCTGCGCCCGGCTGCGGGCACTCTGGCGGGCTCTGGCGGCACCGCGTCTTCCGCATCGAGCAAGCTGGCCATCCTCAAGAGCGCCGGCAAGGGAGACGTTGCACACGAGACCCTCCTCGCTGCCGCCACTGAGCTCTTGAACACGGTGCTGATGCGTAGCTTGGGCATTGACGAGTCCATCGAGCCCATGCGTTTGCTGGCCAACTATGGCGTTGACTCGCTGGTTGCAGTTGAGCTGCGGAACTGGCTGCGCGCGGAATTGAATGTCGAATTCAGCGCGCTGGAGATTGTGGGATCGCGCACGCTCACGACGCTGAGCGAGTCTATACTGAAGAAGCTGGTGCACTAGATGAAGCGCTGGATATACAGGATCTAGCTTACATCTATGGTTTATATAGCTCGCTTTGGGTTTATATTGGTATATATGAGGGCCTCTTTACCAAGACGGATGGATACGTACAGTTGATAAATTTGAAGAGCACTGGATGTCTTGTGGGAGTATCGCGGGTTGTCAAGCCTCATATCGAAAAAAGACTGCGACGAGTCGGCGAAGAAGAATTACGGTAGGCAGATCAAACATGTCACCCGTTGCGGTTCAAGAGAATGATGACGTTATGGCCCGCCGTACAACGCCCAATGCATAAAATTTGAACATTGAAACGGATGTCCCGTTCCATTTAGCTTCGAGGCCTATTAGCTTACATATTACTGCGTATATAAACATATTCCGTGTCAAGGCGGCCAAAAGACTATTTAGAAAAAAGTCCTAGTGCAGAGTCTGATGACAAGCACCTCAATTCCGGTTCTTGGTTTTTACACGCCCGCTCCGTTGAGACGCCGTGTCTCCGACATCCGAAATGGGTCATGGATGGCGTCTGAAGAGTCAAAAGTTCCGCTGATGGCCCGAGAAGGCGTATATAGTAACGTGAATATCCACACGAACTCTCTTCATCACCCGTCGGAATACTAGGCAGTGTTGGGTCGATTCCTCCTCTGCCGCGATGATAATTCTGCACATGGTTGAGCTCCAGATTCTCCTCTACTCCTTGGAATTATACTATCGAAATCAGATACCCCTGATTCATACTCCATCTCAAGACATAGGCACAAAACGCCATGGGTATCCAGGGCCGCCAGCAGAGCAAACTGGAGGGCTTAAGCGGTCCAGTTTTTACCTGTCGTTGGAATGCCACAACGAACCGAATTCACTCAATTGTAGCCATTTCCCGTTTCACAATAATTTAAATCGAGTGCAGCAATGAGAAATTAGAAAGCTATGCTGGCTTTTGTTTTGTTTTGCAAAGCCTCGTTCATGAGACAAGCGCAAGAGTTTCACTTTTCACTTGAAAGCCGTTATCACACTGACATGCGTGACTAGCTACACGTGCAGTCTGACAAAAAAAAGGTTCAATTGTCAGATATCACCTCCGGTTATGCTTTTCAGAATCCCAGGTCTCGAATTTTAAATGGCCTGGAACCTCCTTCAAGACATACTTACAGTAGGTGTTCAAAAGTCTGCGAGCACCCCACCACTACTAAATTGGTCGTAAAATATACATAACTTTTAAATAGTTATTTCTTATATTATATAGCTTTATATAATAAAATATATATACTATTTAATAGCCTTTTAATTAATAATTAATATTTT